TTTTTTTTTTTTTTTTTTTTTTTGGAATAATATCAATACTTATGCATTCAGTAAAAGAAAAGAATTACATTCAAAAAGCAGGAAAAAGACAGCCCCTGCAGAATTTGGACGTTATTTAAAAGAGTTCAAATTTGTATGCAACAAAATAATTCTCCCAAAAAATGATATGTGCTACCACTCTAATTGCAAAACATTCGGCTTCCTCCCTGTGAATGTCATTGAAAACACAATTGATACTTTCCGTCCATATGTCCCAAAAAAAAAACAGTTCTTATTAAGAAAGTTGCTCCATGGAGAACTCGCAAATTTGCAATGGGGGAAAAAAATTTGTGTTGCAATGCTCTTTGTTAAGGATGCAGCAATTGGGAAGAAGAAACTGGAATATTCTGCTACATTCTCTCATTGGTATTGAGACATAAAATAGAGGAGTTCACTCTCAACACTGACTCTTTTACGGGGAATCAGCAAAGAAGGAAGAGAGAGAAGACAACAGTTTATCTTCTTGGGAGTTCCCTCAACATACGCTTTGTCATGTGTTTAGGAATGGTTTGAGAATTGGCAACATGGAGACTTCCAAAGGAATGATACTATTGCTATACACACTCCATATTCTTTTGTCTCTAGATGGAGTTTTTAGCAAGAAATCAAGAAAATAAGATAACTTATATCCTCAAGATTTCTTCTGAAATTAGATTCCATGAAAAGGAACCTTTGTGCTAATAATCCAATCTTGCTCTATCTTCGACAATGGTGTGAAGGCTTGGCTTAGAGTTCAGCTACATAGTGGTCCACTATATAGTAATTTCTTAACCAAGACTGCATTTTGTTCCCCGTTTAAAGAATTGCAAGTGATCAAAGAATTGAAAAGGTACCGCTGCTGAATAATGAAATGCAAGGATTTGAGCAAATGGACAAGACAATACCATATTTACTACCAATAAACTTTGTGCCAAAGAAAGTCTCTCTTCAAAGCCATGTGAAATAAAGAGCTTTGACAGCTTTATATTTGTGTCGATGATCTCCAATGGACAAACCAACTTTGACGGAGACTTTTCTTTTTTTTTTTTTTTTTTTTTTCCTAACGATATTACAGTTTACAAGGTAGCCACCTTTTGAATTTAAATCATCGGGCCACAATATTTGTCTAGCAAGTCCCCCTGAATTTTTGCTATTGAAGCCATTCTGAAAAGAGACATCATAGGGATGCTTGAGAGAATATACTGAACAAGATTCAATTTCCAACCTGTCAAAAGAATACTATTTCTCCACTTGATATTTTTCACAAGAAACAGAGCATTCATTAAAAAAAGATGAAAAATACAAAAGGCAATACAAAAAGCCAGTCCAAACTGAGGAACTAAACCAGGTAACCGTCCAAAAAAACAGATCCAATCCAAATGGATAAGACCAAGCCAAGAACTATAGAACTCTCCGGTAATCCTAACCAAAGCCCAAAGGAAACGTTAATCCTAGTGAATAATTTCTCGATTTAATGATTTGATTCAAATTTTGGCTGGACAGAGTTTGCAAAGCCTTTGAACCTATTTCTCATTTTTGTAGTGAACAACAAAGAGAGGA